ATCTTGGGGATGCTCTGTCACTGTTTCCTCTCCTTTCCCGAGAGTTGTCATATCTTCTCCTTCCCGACGGCTGGGTGAAGTTCTGGAGATGGCCAGACTTGACAAGGTCCTCAATGCGGTCCCGGAGAGCCGTGCATTCCTCGGTGGTGTGCCCCCTGTTTCTGTGAAAATGACATGTCTTGGTTTTATCCGCGTGGGGCGGAGTCATGGCTCGACGTGGGACTGCTAGGATTTCTGTGGCTAACGCCTGCTCTAACACCTTAGCTCTGGTGGCGTTGAGCGGTGTGTATTGTGTATACCGGGGCCCCCTCTGTGCTCTTTCTCTGTCGAGGACGTCCCTCGGGCGTGGTTTTGGGTTGTGCCCCTTCTCAGCTTCCTTCCTTCCTAGAAAGGAGTCGGAACGGTTCTGGTTTCGGAACTCGGCCAACTCCTCCATCTGCATGTACTTCGTGGCTCTTTGTCGAAGCTCATCCAAGTCTCTGGGTGGTTTTTTGCATAAGCTGTTCACGAACGGGCCCGGTCGCAATGCTGTGGTGAGGTGGTGCAGGGCCACTGCGGGATCTAGATTTCGAATGGACAAAGTCATCTTTCTGAACCTTTCCATGAAGGCTCTGAGGGGTTCCTTCTTTTCTTGGCGGATATTGATCAACGCAATGGACGTGAGTTGATGAGGTCGACTTGTAGCGAACTGTATCACAAATCGGGAAGATAAAGACGTGAAAGAGTCTACCGTCCCGGGTGGAAGTCTAGTGAACCAATTGAGTGCGGGTCCTTTCAAAGAAGTAGGAAAGACTTTGCACATGACTGCGTCGTCTTCGGTGTACAATCCGACCTGTGTGACGAATGCATCAAGGTGTTCTTCGGGGTCAGCAGTTCCATCATACTTCTCCAGAGTTAAGTTTTTCCAATTGTCGGGTAATCGAGACCCGGCAATGTCCGGTGTGAAGGGTGTTCTTCCCTGCCTTCTTTGTTGATCTTGCGTTGCGGCGGTCGGCACTCCCGACGTCCGAGGAATAGTAACTTCCTTGTACCATCCCGAGGATTCGCCATGTTCCCGGGTCGACTGATTTTGTGCGTCGTTCGTGGGCTGCCACGTCCGGTTATCGCTCCTAAGCTCGGCGTTCTCTCTTCTTAAAGCTGATAACTCGTGAGCGTCCTTCTCTCGGAGTCTCCTGAGTTCCATCATTTCGGCTCTTAACTGTTCGAGGGCCGAGGAGGGGTTAGGCTGCTGAGATCGGTCTACGTATGATTCCTCCATTCCGTCGTTCTGATCGGCTCGCCGTATGGGAGTACCTCTGGGCATCCCGTAAGGGTGCTCGGTGACTACGTTCTCTTGCTGACTTCTCGTAAGTACCATCTTGCTCCGGGGTAGAAGATCGCTCTAACTTCGGGGTCGAAAATCGTTCTAGCTTCGGCCCCACGGTGGGCGCCAAAATGTTCCTGTCACAAGAACACTCGTCTCCTTACTTCCTCCTTAGCAGCCTTCGTATCCTTCCGAGTCTTCTGTGCCGACCGAATTACTAACTCCGAGTGTGGGGAGGGTACCTGCAAAGGCACTCCGACGATCAAGTCAGTGTTCGGTTTGGAACAATAAATATGTTAGTTGGAATAGTAACGTACCTCACTTATGTCATACTACCTGTATATTTATAGTGACACAATTGGGCCTGGTGGGCCTTCAGTCTTGGGAGACGGGTAACCCTTGAATTAGTCTTAATCTCCTCTTAATCTGTCATGGTAATCAGCGCATAATAAGTATCTAACTCGCCACGTGTTGTTTGTGATCTACTTGTCGAAGTCCTCGGCTAGGCGTAAGGCCGAAAGGGTGTTCGGCCTCCCCTGAGGCCGAAAGGGTGTTCGGCCTAGGTCAATGCCGAGGTGTTTGACTCGTCCTTGATGGCCGATTTATTGAAGTCTTCGGCTAGGTATGAGGCCGAAAGGGTGTTCGGCCTCCCCTGAGGCCGAAGAGGTGTTCGGCCTCCCCTGAGGTCGAAGAGGTGTTCGGCTCGGGCACCCCTCTCGGCCTATTGCCTGACCGAAGGGGTGCCTCCTATGCCTCATGGTATGACTCTTCGGTTCGGGCCCCCCCTTCGGCCTATCGTCTGACCAAGGGGGTGCCACATGGTATATTCCTTCGGTTCGGGTACCCCTCTCGGCCTGTTGCGTGACCGAAGGGGGATCCACAGGTACAGACTTCTTTCTCTATTCCTCTTCCTCTTCTATTTGTTTTTGTATCATCCCTTCAAATTTGGTCATAATAAAGAGGCTCCCATGGTTGCAGGTGCATGGCCAATACTTGGCCACCTCCCGTTGTTGAGTGGTTCACAATCACCACATAGAACCTTGGGTGCTTTAGCTGACAAGTATGGTCCCATATTCACTATCAAACTTGGTGCCAAAGAGACTTTGGTAATCAACAACTGGGAAGTGGCTAAGGAATGCTTTACCACGAATGACCTTGTCGTTTCTTCTCGTCCCAAGCTTGTTGTCATTGAACACTTGGGCTACAACCAAGCCATGTTTGCCGTAGCACCCTATGGTCCTTATTGGCGCGAAATACGAAAGATTATAACATCAGAGATCCTCTCCAATCGCCGAGTAGAGCAACTACAACATGTTCGTGTGACAGAAATTCGAAATTCGATTAAGGAGCTCCTTGATGTTTGGAGTAGCACAAAGAGCGAGTCTGGTTATGCATTGGTGGAGCTGAAGCAATGGTTTTCTCATTTGACATTCAACATTATTTTTCAAACGACCGTTGGAAAGCGATATTTTGGTGCTGCAAGTGTGGATGATGAGAAGGCACAGACATGTGTAAAAGCTGTAAAAGAGCTCTTGCGTCTGTTTGGGGTGTTTACAGTGGGAGATGCTATTCCTTATTTGAGATGGTTTGATTTTGGTGGCCATGAAAAGGCCATGAAAGAAATTGGCAAGGAATTTGATGGTATATTAAGTGAGTGGTTAGAGGAGCATCGACAAAAAAGGGCTTTGGGTGAGAACGTTCAAGACTTCATGGATGTGATGATTTCCTTGCTTGATGGGAAGACAATTGATGGGATTGACGGCGATACCATGATCAAATCCACTGTCCAGGTATATATACACACACGAGACCTATACTCATGTAGTTTTCAAGATTGTGTGCACCGTACCAGTGACTTTTGTCGGAAATATTTTGTGAAAATATAGAAAAATTGAACGTTGCGTGGAAATTAAAATTGAAGATGAAAAATTGTAAATAAAATTTATAAAAGAAGATACTTATACATAGGTTTATGGTCAATTAAACTTTTTAACAAATTTTATCTACTCACAATCCTATTTATTGATACTAGATGAAGTAATCAAAAACAAGATATAAAAAGATAAGGCTAAGACAATGATAAATAAAGACAGACTTATTTATTTCAAGAGTAAACTTTATACAATTATTCAACTCAATAACTCAATCTATTCCAACAGTTGAATAAAGAATTTTAATTAATGGATCAAATTTACAAGTTTTTACAAAGTTTAAAAACTATTTACAACTTTGTTACACAAATTCAATTCAACAATTATTTACAAAAATATATTATACGTTTATTTGAATTAATATGTCAAAATATCAAACGAATTTTAAATTTTATAAAAAAAAAATTATAGACTTAATTTATTCATTAAAATTTTTAATTCATCTATTAAATTATTAAAATTTAATATAAATAATAAATTATTAAATAAATTAATTATATTCAAATTTATTTAAATGGATTACTTTTCAAATATCCAATCTAAAGTTTAATAAAAATTTAAACAAAAGAATCTGATAAGTATAACAACTTTAATTTGAACTTAAGTAAATAATCTTCTATATAACCGTGAATCTTGAAAAACGTTGTAGTGTGTGAAAAAGTGGGAGATAGAGTGAAAGACAATGAATAATAAAAAATAATAATAATAATAAAACAATAAACATAAAATAAATTGTAGAGTAATGATTATCGTGAAAGAAAAATAAAATCTTAATGTATAACTTATAAAAATGAAAAATAAAACTTTTAATGCAAAACAAGCATAGAATTTACACACTTTATACATGAACAATAAATATAACAATAAAATAGATTATGGATATGGTTATAGAAATATCTATCATGACATTTAACTCATAACTTTAATTAATTTTTCTTCCTTGTAAAATAACACTTTTGTTATATTGTTTAAGATATTATGGATACTCCCAAACATGTAATTCATATATTAGTTCATGAACCAATTCTTTATCATAATTTACATATATGAAACATTTGCATATTTCATAATTCCAAAGTTTAAAATAATCACTCGTTATTCATAATATGAGATTGATGTAAATTATATATAAATTATGAATTTAATGACATAAAACTTGTCTATGGACTAAAGCTTTACTCTATTAGATTTATTACATAACCTTATGAAAAAACTATCAAATTATGTTCATTTTCTTAGTTCCTATGTGTAAATTAAGAAATATAATTTGATATTTATCCTAATTGATTATAGGCATAACAATAATTCATCTGAGAAAACTTATTATATTTTGGTATAATAAATTACAATATTATGTCTAATTCTTTATGTAATTTAAGCAAAAAAAAATATAATTTCAATTAATTAAAGATACTATGATTAAGGATGGGAATAAACCAAGTCAGGCCAGACTTTGAATATATAGGCTGAGTCTGTTTTACAAAATTAAAGCCTAAGTCAAACCTATTATCTATAATAAGCTTTTTTTATTATAGACATAACATGACCTTTTTAAAAGCCTAAACTGACCTATTATCCTATTGAAATTATTAATATTAATTACACTAATAAACTTAATTGTTAAAAAATGAAGAAATTTATTTTTAAAATATAGTTTACTCAATATTATTAAATTTTAAATATTAAAAGAAATATAGAAGAAAAATTGAATCATATTTTGCTGAAGGGTCAATTCATGTGTAGTCATGTATATTGATATACACTCATGCATAAGTCATATGTTTATAAACTTATAATGAAAAAATAATAATTATATAAAAAATATTTTAAATTTTGATAATTTATTATTATTTTATAAATTTATTTTTATAGTTATACTTTTAATAATATATATACACTAGTTTTTTGTTATATTATATAAATAAATAAGCTGACTTGTCAAACCTAACAAACTTTTCTATAAACCTAAGCCTAGTATTTTTATATAAATGAACTTTGTTTAAAAGTGTAAACTTGACATTTTTATTAAATAGGTCAGATCAAGTTAAACTTGACTTTAAAAAGACCGGATCATATCTCCTATTTAAAGCTTGACCTATTTCTAGTCCTAACTATAGTTAATCAATAATTAATTAAAATTATAAGAAAGACAAATAAAAAAAATTAAAGTTCTCAAAAAATTAGAAACTACTATAATTTTATAAACTTTATATTTCTTTCAATCAAGAAGATTTGAGACACATTATTAGATAATAAAACATGCATCAACTAAATTAACATATACTCTTAGATAATTTTAATGAATTTCAATGTAACACAATTAATTACTAGCAACACAATTAACAATTTAATCCATCCTTAATAAGTTGCTTGTTACTAATAATAACAATTAAGACTGTTATAAGCTCTGTCTATTAAATAACTTTTTTTTAATTACTAATATTATTTATCATTAATATTTTTTAATTGCAGAACATAACATAATGCTACATACATAAAATAAGAGAATTTAATTATTTATTGAAATCTTTAAAATCATTATAACAATAATGTCATATTACGATCAAAACCATATTATTACATCAATAACAATAAAATGACATTTCATTTCTATCTTTTCGAGAGAGAGTAGAGATACACGAAAAGCATATATATGAAAAATATATAAATATAATTGTAAAAGTAAAATTCCAAAATCGGAATAACACGCCAAAATCTTTTCACATTCATGTACAAAGATGAGAGTATTTGAAACAACAAATTCCTAAACATGCAAATATCATATCCATTTGCTTTATTTATTTATTTACAAATTGCCACTTATACAAGCTTTTGGATTACATATTTGATTTGTAGGCAATAATATCGGCAGGAACGGATACAATTAGTACTGTTCTTATATGGGCAATATGTTTGATATTGAAAAATCCTCCTATATTAGAAAAAATTATGGCAGAACTTGACATTCAAGTTGGAAAAAAGAGATGCATATGTGAGTCTGATTTAAATAAGTTAACATACTTTCAAGCCACAGTCAAAGAAACTTTAAGATTGTATCCTCCTGCTCCTCTCTCAACACCTCGTGAAATCACAGAAGATTGCACTATAAGTGGTTTCAATGTT